GCCAGTCTAGGATTCTATGATTCTATGAAAAAAAGGGAAATCACATATTATGAATAACTAGGAAAGTAAGAGACAACAAAAGGAAGAAAATCATTACGCCACTCCCTATATCATGCTTAGCTGGAACCTTAATCTTGGGTGCAGTCTGGTACCTCCAGACAGAGCTGAACTGAAAGAGGTTCAGAGAAATCCAGCAAGCAAGCTCCGAGGTCAAACGCTTCCACAAAGAACTTTCTAAGTAAGCTGGAACTCCGGCAGTGGAAAGACACGGCCTGCCGGCTGGCACAGGAAAGGTCTACAACATCCTGAAAGGCAGGGAGAGAGCAGGCAGCAACGCTTCACTCTTTTCCAACAGAGGAATAACTAGCAGGAGCAACTAAGTGAGAGGAGGTGTTATTTCTTACAGCAGAGCAGATTTGCTGAACGCCTTGTAAATGTTTACATGGGTTCATGCTGAGATAAGAAAAGTACCTGAAAGAGGCCCACTGAGGGATCTCAATAGACCGTAACAGACTGCAGGGAGCCTGAGAGCTGAAACCTGTGGCATGTGGAGAAAAGTATCAGGTGCCTTTTTTGACTCACTATTTAAAGTGAATTCTCAGAAAGCTTGTCCGCTCATCATCCCTCAGCACCCTCAAAACTCCAGCATTCCTAACCCTGCCTCTAAAAGGTGTGCGGTAACTACACGGCCCTTTCTGGCTTTCGCCTGTATTTTCCCATTGAATTTTCAGCTCAGTTGTGCAAGACTTTTGGGGCACATGCAATTAGAGAGTGATCCTGACCTCGCCTCCTGCTCCGCCGACACAAAGTACTTGCTCTCAGCACAGCCAGCCTGTATTCACGCCTGTTACAGAGAACAGATGTAACGCAGAGATGCTTCACCTTGATTTAAATACGTGCTTTACAGTTGTAAATACTGAGTGTAGTAAGGCTGCTGCTGTTATGCTAGTTTAAGCACACAAAGCAAGTTCTGCAGGAAGAAGCGGTGTATTTTATTATTAACAAACATGCTGCTTCATCTGCAGAAACTGTGTTCAAAAGCTTGTTTCTCTCCACATACACCAGTTACCCTCACAAAGCACATTCGCGTTCTCCCCCAGCCTCTACCTCAGTGGGACAGGTTAAACTGGAGTGATAGGAAGGGGAAAAGTCAGGCTGAACATACAGCTCTTCACGAAACTTTGTGAAATTTCATGCTTCAAAAACTTAATTGAGGGAATTTTTCCATTAAACCATAAATATTTTAAATTGAGTTCCCGTTAAAGATATACGGCAGGGAGTCAGGGAGCAAAGTCCCTCCCACTGTAGGAGATAAGGTTTAAGACCACCTGAGGAACCTGAACACACATAAGTCTATGGAATCCAATTCCAGTTGTTTCTGGGAAGATCAGGGAACAGGTCCTCCTAGAAGGTATGCTAAGGCACATGGAGGACAGGGACACGATTTGAGATGGTCAGTGTGGCTTCACCAAGGGCAAGTCTTGCCTGACCAACCTTGTGGCCTTCTATGATGGAGTGACTACATCAGTGGGCAACGGAAGACCTACAGATGGCACCAAGTCCTCTGCAAGGCCTCTGACATGGTCCTTCATGACCGACATCCTTCTCCCTAAACCAGAGAGAGATTGACTTGATGCGTGGATGATTTGGTGGATGAGGAACTTGTTGAACGGTCGTATCCAGAGACTAGTGGTCAATGCTCCATGTCTGGATTGGAGATCAGTGATAAGTGGTGTCCCTCAGGGGTCTGTACTTCATCTTCACCAATGACATGGACAGCGGGATCGAGTGCACCTTCAGCAAGTTTGCAGATGACACCAGGCCAAGCGATGTGGCTGACCCGCCTGCAGGACAGGATGCCATCTGGAGGGACCTGGACAAGCTGGAGAGGTGGGTGGGTGCAAAGATCATGAGGATCCACAAGGCCAAGTGCAAGATTCTGCAGCCGCGTCAGGGTAACCCCTGGTATCAATACGGGCTGGGGGATGAAGGGATTGAGAGCAGCCCCACCAACAACGACGTGGGGGTACTGGTGGATGAAAAGCTTGACATGAGCCAGCAGCATGTGCTCACAGCCCAGAAAGCCAACCGCATCCCAGGCTGCATCCAAAGCAGCGTGGTCAGCAGATTCAGGAAGGGGATTCTGCCCCTCTGCTCTCCTGAGACCCCACCTGCAGTTCTGTGTCCAGCACAGGAAGGACACGGCCCTGCTGGAGCGGGTCCAGAGGCCACAAAGACGATGAGAGGGCTGCAACGCCTTCCCTGTGAGGACAGACCAAGTTGGGCTTGGTCAGCCTGGTGAAGAGAAGGCTCCAGGGAGACCTTATTGCACCCTTTCAGTTCTTACAGGGGCTTATAAGAAAGATGTGGACAAACTTTTCAGCAGGGTTGTTGTGACAGGACAAGGGAAAACGGTTTTAAGCTAAAAGAGGGTAGAATTAGACTAGATACCAGGAAGAAATTTTTCACAATGTAGGTGGTGAAACAGTGGCATAGGTTGCCAAGAGAGCTGGTAGATGCCCCATCCCTGGAAACATTCAAGGTCACGTTCAAAGGGGATCTCAGCAACATGATCAAGTTGAAAATTTCTCAGCTCCTTGCAGGCAGGAATTGGACGAGATAACTTTTAAAGGTCTCTTCCAACCCAAACTATTCTATGACTCTATAAACTACCACTACTATTGTGGCCATTGTTTATTTATATATATACTTGAGGAAGTCCTTTACGACTTAAATTTTACCGTAAAAGTTCTGAATTGCTTTCAAATTCTCCTGAAGTATTCTCCAAAATATCCCTCCCAGAGACACGGATATTCAGTCCTGGACTGAACACCTTCCTTGACACTGTTCTGCAGCAGAGCAGCAAAGTTTTGTAGAACAAGTGAGACCAAGAGAAAGTCCAGAAACATTCTCCTCCAAGTTCTTCCACATACATATGACTGCACCTCCAGAAAAGAGCTTTCTATTTGTTCCTGATGATTTTAAACCTCTGTAACAAAACTTTGAAAGCATCCTCCTCACCGAAGCAGTGTTATTACAGACAGCAATGCAAAGATATTAAAACAGTCAGATACACTTGGAAGCTGAAGGTTACAATAAGCAGGAAGAGAGAATACTTTACCATGCACATGAGACTGCTGGAAACTTTTTCCTGGTGCAAAGTGGAAATTTCCAGCTACCTGCAGGAGACAGTAATCTTTCATTAAAACGTCTGAGTCTGTACAAATAAAGCAGTATTCCTGGTGCTTGGATTTTTAAATTTTTGTTTAAACATGATATACAGCAAGTTATTAATTTTCACAAGGTACAAACTCCCTCTTTTCCTCACAGGCAGTCACGCGGAAAGCCATTAATTACATGCTGATGTTGGTTATCTGCTCTATGCAGATTATATTAGTGGACATAAAAATGGAAAGAAGTAGTAATGAACTCTATTGGGAGGGAACTGACTGTTGCAGGAAATACAAAAAGGTAACACAGAAAAGGAGTGGAGAAAGCAACTGACAGGGAGAGTGAGCAGGGTGAGAAAACCCTTGATGCAATAAACATTTTGTATATGCATCCAGGAAAACAGGTTGCATGCAACAACAATGCATTAAATCTACCAAAAAAAAAAAAGGACAAAAAAACCCCCAAAAGACAAAGGTTGTTAAAATTTCATCCTGGAATCTGAAAAGGGATATGGATATTAGGTGCCAACCCTCCCTGACACTGACTAACAATCACACATGCTCTCCCCTGGGAGATGTGAATGTCCCAAGCTCACGTGCTATGTTACAGCTCCAATGTCTGTGCAAACTTGTTGCTTATATTAACTGCACACCTGATGAAAATGGAGGTGTGTAAAATTCCAAGGGCATAACAGAAATTTCTCCAGTGACAGCCACCCTTGGACCTTTGCTACCCCCAGCATTCCCTTGGAATCTTTCCTGCTCATTACGCTTCGTGACAGAGGGTCCCGTAATGGTTCGGCACCCATGTCAGTGCTCAAATTGCAACGTCTGGCTTTGTGAGTAAAAGGTTTACTTTCCAGAAGTAAAGAATGTGGTCTCCAGGAAGAGTACACAAAGATGCAAAAAAACCCCCAGAGTCTGCATAAAAATAAATAAAAATTAGCTGGGGCTGGACTTCTAGAATATGCTTGGGTATCCAACTTGCCTGTCCAAGGGTTCCGGGTTTGGTAACCCACCAAGTGACAGGGCAGTTTCAGAGTCACCTGCTACATCTCATACTACAGTTTCATGTACCAGTTGCGTAACTCACCTCATTTTGCATTTTCAGCTTTGAGAACCAACTCCAATAGTCTTGCTCCCACTGTTTTTCTAAAGGAGATAACATCTCACTCTCTCCAGCACCTCTGCTAGCAAGTTGTTGGTTACTGTTATCTCCAGCATCCACTGGTGGTCTCTATTTTAGGACTAGGAGGGCAGGTGGGACAATCTATCCGCAGAGAAGCTGCCCCTCCTCCTGCAGAAACTTTGGCAGAAAGACTCACTAGCTAGAGCAGGACAAGATATGCTTCTCCAGGCGACGTGCTACCAGCCCACACAACAAAAGAGAATCAGCTCCTTCCCACTGCTCTTCCTGACTCTCCCACTGGACCCCTTTACAGGCTTTGCTGAGCCCAGGGGTTACTGCAGAACAGTCCTGTGGACACCTAAAGCTGGAAAAGGAGAGGAATGCCCCAACTCTGCCTTGTCACGGTCATTCTAGAATGGCTTGAGTTGGAAGGGACCTTAAAGATCATCTTGTTCCAACCCCCATGCCATGGGCAGAGACATCTCCCACCAGAGCAGGTTGCTCCAAGCCTCATCCAGCCTGGTCCTGAACACTTCCAGGGATGACCATCACCATCATCATCATGCAGGTTCACATCTCTCACCTTGTTGACCTCTAGGAAACCATACACTTGGCAGCCCTCGTTCTTCTGCTCTTGCATTTTCTGGCTGAACCCTTCCCTCTTGCACTGCTCTATGCTATCCGGGTTCTTGAAGGCCCAGCCTCGCCGCCTGTACGCTTCTCGGACATCGTCACAAGTATTACAACACCTGCAAAAGCACAAGCACCATCTTACCATTGTTATCACTATAAAGAGACGCTCCAGCTCAGGACTTGAATCCCCAGTGGACTTTTCTTCAACAAAGCAATAAAGCAAATGCCAGGGACCGCACCTTGAAAGGTGACCTAATGCTCCTCAAGGAGCTCGAACTTCTTGAAGTATTTATTGAGATTTTTGGCATGAGGATGCAAGCTGTTTTACTGCAGTTTTTGAGTCTGAAGAAGGCTCTGTCTATCCATTCCGACAGCCAAATCACTCCTTGGCAAAGAAATCCGCTACACAAATGATGCCAGTGTCCCACAGCTCAGAGTATTTTGGAAATTCCCCATTGTGAACAAAGCATCTGCCTGTTTCTATTCTTCCCTTCCTCTGTCTTTATGGCAGGATGGTCAACATTGGAGGGATGGTTAATGACAAACTTTCTTCATTACTTTTCTACAGTTACCGGTTCCATGTTTTGCTGGACCAAAGAAAAAGCTGAAGGGTGGAATCATGAATCCCTCAAGATGGAAACACCTCTGGAGAAGGACACAACTTGAGACAACAGCAGCAAAGGATGACCAGAACCTGTGGATTATCACAGATCCATTCTGACACAGATTTGCAGGTCGGATAAATGAGAAACACCAAGTGACACCCATTGTTTGTGTGAGTGATAAACGTCTGGTCTTTGCTCCCATGAGGATGCAAAGCCTGCAGCAGCAGGGAGAAGGCAAAGCTATAACCAGTTTTTCTTCCAAGACAGCTCACATAACGGTGAACGCTCTGGACACCAAATACCCACAGAAAACATTCCTCAGTCAGCTGAGCGAGGCGCTAACAACACCAAGGTCGCGGGTTCGACTCCCGCTCGGGCCCCATGTGTTGCCGGATCTAGTCGAGAGGTGGCGTCCCTGGCGACAGGGAGGCTGGGTTAAATGATCTCTAAGGTCCCTTCCAGCCTAGGCCATTCTAGGATTCTGTGATTCCATTTGATGAGATGCAATCTTTGTGCTACTGCAAAGACAAGTGCAATTTGCACTGCCCTTAAACAGGCACGTAGACAAACGAGACAACCTAACTCTGAGCGTTCTTAATAATTACGAGTGCAGCTTCCAAAGGCATACCAAAACTGCAGCTGTTCTCATCATTCTCTGAACGTGTGCCCAGGAGGATTTCATGGCACTGACCTCACAGACATTTGGAAAAAAAGCCACACATGCAACATAACCATACTAATTCGAGTGCTAAGAAGATACAAAAAGGTGGAAAGGTTACCGAATATCCTCTGACTCTGCCCCGTAACAACTCTCGCAGCGGTCGGCATCCAAAGAATTTGGATCAAACACTTTTTCTTCTTCTTTGCCCAGCTCTAAGACAAAAGAGGATTCAAAGTGATGAAGCATGTCTAGGGTACTCTTGCTTTGTTCTGCACTGTGCACAGTAACTGTTCCACACATGAACACAATTTTGTGCTGAAAGCTGCATATCCCGCACCCACAGCCCACCTGAAAAGGTCCACACAGAGCCTACTGAGGTGTGAAGTAAGACCAAGAAGCAAAGTAGCACCAGTCAGCTCAGGAACACCCTCCACTGAAAGAACCAGCTATCAGTAAGCCTTGCTGGAACGCTGATCTGATGTCACTTGCACAAAAGCTCTTGAAACATTGTCTAAAGTAGACTCAAGCAGTGACTGACACAGGGCCTGTTACACAAACGAAATTTTCAGTAGCTGTCCCCTGCAGTCAGCAGTGCACAACGCTTACCCCCATCCCAGCACCTGCAGGAAACACCATTATATATGGCTGTGAAACGAGATCAGAGTGGGAATGTCCCAAGTGTAAAACTGACACCCAGTCCCCGAGGATGACAGTGGTGACAAGGCACATGTGCTACCCATTGCTCCCACGGCATTTCCAGCTTCTTTGAGACTTCACAGTTCTGCAGTGTCCGTGCCACGTGTGTGTCGTGCGTGCCACGTGTGTGCTGGACACACAGCCGCGGTACGGCTGGGGCGCAAACGCCTGGAGCTGGATGTTCCTGCCTGCGGAATGCTTAAGGACTTGTAACAGAGGAGGTCAGAGTTGGTGACAGCTGAAACCTCCCAAAGGGCAGGAGGTGCCTAGAGAAAACTCAAACAGGACTTTTGTTTGCTCAAGAACCAAACCAAGTATCTGGTCTGGTTTGAGCTAAACAGAACCAGTTCTGTTCAGTGATTTTTGCTTCTCAGTTCAGTCTCTTCCAAAAGGCTGCACTGTCTGAAGTCAGCAGCATGTTTGTACAGACAGGGTGTGCTGCCGGCAGTGATAACACCTGATGTGACAGTCACTGCCTGGGACTGGGATGCAGAAAGGCTCTGGCTGATCCTTATTCCTGCAGTGCCCAAGGCCACTGCTGGCTCTGGGTGCCACGCTGGGGGTGCCGGGTAGTGAGAGGGGGCACAGGCAAGTGAAAGGTGGCACCTCCGGGGGGTAACAGACAGGACAGGTGACCAACAAGAGCATTCCATTCCATCTATGTCACATACAGCATAAACTGAGGGATCACGAGGGTTTAGGTCTCTTTTGCTCTTTCTCCAATGGCCGGTGCCCAGGAGGACTCAACCCAACCGTCTGCCTTTGACCCCCACCCCTAGTTCCCAAATCCAGCGCTGGTGTCCAGCTCCCGCCGCTGCTGAGCCTGGAGCTGCCCCAGTGCCTCCTGCTCTGCAGCACCAGTGGGGATTGATACTGGGAGGGGAGTCAGGTTCAATAGCAAATCTCTCTATATATTTGTACATAGTTCTTTATTTTTCTTATTTCCTGATTGTTCTTTTATTATTGTTTTATTAAAGATGTTTTAGCTTTCTAACCCGCAAGTCTCTCTGCCTCATTTCCTCTTTCTTTCTGTTTGACAGGGAGGAAATGGGGTCAGAGAGTATCTGTCTGCGTTTACTGGCCAGCCCAGCCCTAACTCATGACAGTATCAGAGATCTGCAAATTCTGGAGTTAGGAATCAGCCAGCCAAGGAATTTTGTGTCTAAAATTCTCAAAAACAGTGGCTCTTATAAGAGGTGCCCTTAAAATCAGGCTGTTTCAGCTCACAAATCCTGAAGGACAGGACCTTGAGTAATAAAAGCCCTCTAAGGCTGACTATCCAGGCACTGCTGCACCGCCCTCTGTAAGCCTTGAAAAGGTGGCTTCTTGGATAATTAATGCTGGAGAAGGTGATAAGGGGCATAGTCAAACACTGCTCAGGGGATAAAATGTCATCAAGGCCATGCTTGTTGAGACTGAGATGTATAACAGGTGGACAAAAGTGAGTATTAAAGATGGTCTGTCTTTCATATTAGCCACAGAAAGGAAAGATTTTAATTAGAAAGTATGAAAAATACGCATGGAAATCAATCACTAGCCTTATTTGTCTAGTCCCATCCTTAATAGTAGTTATGATCAAGCAAATCAAAACTTTTAGGAAAATATATCCATTATTTAAGAACTGTGCAAGACTTTCTTTCTAAAGCTTGTAATTACATTAAAAGACGGTGTCAGGAAGAATAGTGCTGAATAATTGCTATAGTCTGTCAAAGCCACGATTGTCACCATCTGAACACGAACACCTGTGCAATACAGGGAGTCTTTCAAGATACAGCAACCAGTAACAGCTTTTTGAATGTAGCCAGGAGCAGCCTGCTGAGCTGTCTCAGAGACAGCCTCCAGAGGTAACGCACACAGTGTCGATACCCTAAAGGAACCGCACTACATAAAACTGCAAACAGGGCTTCTGGCTGGTCCTCAACTTGCACACAGATACGACGCATCAAATCAGCAAGCTCTGCCCATGTCAAAAGGAAAGAAACGGTACGAACCACCAACAAAGAATTCACTCATTTATTGTCGTTCAATGGAAATGAGTAAGATGACAGCCAAGCACAAAATGCAGCTACCACAGAAATCACTGAGCGACTGGGCAAAGTCTCCACATGCTGCTCCACAAATGTTGGGTATGGCTGACTAAATTTAAGGCCAATACTGCTACAGGCATCGTTTAAGTAACTGATCATCAGTCTTACGAACAGCAACTGATAACCACGGAGTTTAGTGAAGATGGAGGGACACTGACGACCTCACTTGCAACACGGGTGGTAGAAACCAAACCAGCTGTGTGCTTTTTCCAGACAGGAGAAGAAATTACTACTTTTAAAACACCTCTGCTACGTGAGATGGTTTGCTCTCTACAAGTTTCTCTTCCTCTCCATTGATTACACAAGGCGTCAGAGCAACCGGGTCATTCAGAATAAACATGATGGAGACTGGCTTTACAAGGAAGGCAAGAGGCCTACACGTGTTAACACAGAATTAGATAGAGAAAAGCTGCTTTTGTTCCCAGATGTTACACTTGTAATGCCACAGCCTCTGAATACAAAAAGGCTTCTAAGTGACACAGTAGTAAAAACACTTATTACCACATTCCTCTCACAAGGGGAGAAACTCTTGTACCTACTGGTTCTTCAGCTCTTGGCTTAGTTTAGCCTTTCAATTTCAAGAACAAAAAAGTTAAATCCGAGTGATATGAACCAACAAATTCAGTTCACACCAATAGGTAGAATTACACTGTCTCCCAGAAAAGGTATGAGGAGCTCATGTTTTGGAAAGGGAAAGTCAGGGCAGTTTTGCAACGCTTTGCCAGAATTATTTCCAGTCTGTATCCAAGCACAACACTGAATCCTAACCGGTAAAAAGGGGAAAAGATGTTTGTGTAGCCAAGCACCACACTTACTACAACTTGTAACCAATAAAACAACTAAAATATATTTGTCAGGTATGCCTTAGCACACACAAAGTAAATGCACTAAGGTGCAAGTTTAGGCTTAAGGGTTGAGTCTCTGGAGCCTTCCCTGAAGAAAGGCTCTTTCCTCTAACCAAGCCATCCCATTTGTCAGCCTACTTTGATTTAATGTCAAGTTTTACCAGAACAGCTGCCTGATTTCTGGTTGTAAAAGACCATTAACTGAGCAGCTTTATTCCTGAAATGCATTCATGAGTTCCTGAAATAATTTCGGAGGGATGAGGCAAAGATTTGCCTCACCAAAGTAGGGAGTGGTACAGGAGTTTGTCTGATCTGACGGTTTAACAGATTTGCATGCTACAAACTCTTCAAGACTCTGTGCTATTCCAATGCTCTTCAGCTGCCACCCGTTCCCGTCAATCTCCACACAGGCACAGAGCGATGGAAAGACTATGAGAGCAGCCACCCAAGAAAGGCAGAAGAGCACCTTACCATGTCTCTCAGCCTCGGGAGTCACACGGTTGCCAGCTTTATCCAAACGCTGTTTGAACAGATTGTGCTCTACATCCAGCTGCTGCTCTCCTGCGACATCCATGGCATCGATGCTCAAATCTGAAACCAGCCAGCAAGAGAAGTGGTCCATAAACACACCCTTGTTACTGCCTGTGGCAGGCTGAGGAAGCATTCAGCCACCGGAAATCTTTCAGCCAGGGAATAAGAATGTGGCAGACTAGAAGAGTGTGTATGGCTGGGCCCAAGTGACAAACAGGGAATAAAAGGCATGTTGCAACACCCTAAATTTCCTTGAAATTCAGTTTTTGGGTTGGTGTTCAAGGAAGACTGTGCTCAGTGGTCTGAGCGCAGTGCTGACAACACCGAGGTCGCGGGTTCGATTCCCGCTCGCTCCCCATGTGTTGCCTGGTCTAGTCAAGAGGTGACGTCCCTGCCCATGACAGGGAGGTTGGACTAGATGATCTCTAAGGTCCCTTCCAGCCTAGGCCAGTCTAGGATTTCTACGATAAAGCGTTATCCTGAGGGGTAATGTACTTAAGGCAAAAAGCCAAAACCAAACGCCTCAAAGCCCGTAACCATTTTCAGTGATCTGGCTCAGCCCTAACCCTCGACATACAGTCAAATCCTAAGTCCCAAGTGAACTCTGTGTCTGTTTTTTCAGTAGTACTGAGCCCTCTAACAAAGGCCAATACCATACAGAAACGTAAGCTGCTTTATACCTCATTTGTAATCTGGAAAAACAATATCTCCTGACAGGAAGCACCAGTTTAAGCGCCCAGTGGGCCTGGGTGGAG